AAGCAGCCTAGGGCAGGCAGCAGTACCAAGTGGACACTGAATAGCTTTGTTCTAGTTCTCATCGTTTATGTGAAAGTCTAATATTTTATGGTTACGGTCTACCTGAGCAATGCTGCAATAACTGATTTTCTATTTTCTGTGGTCATATAAGTTTCCTTGTGAGCCACATTTACTGATATTTTTAACGAGGACATTTGCGTATATTTTTAATGGGTAGATTTAAAGGAAAATATTAAATTCACAACACCATAGAGAAGAAAATCAGAAAGGTGGCATTGGAATGACTGAAGCTTGAGAAATTCTGCCCCATGAAATTAAAAATAACCCAGCCATGTAATTATATTGTCCTGAAAGTAGATTGCAAGTTACCTAAATAGCACAAATCCACAGTAGCCCAGCACTGTTAAAAGCAAATTTCTGAGGGCTTGCGTATGCAGTTACTTTAGCAACAGAGGTATAACTGAGTCATATTTAAACCACAAGACCTACGAGCACGGAAGTCTAATTATTGGAAAATTATTGACCCAGGAAACCCCACTATGCCTCAGTGCACACCGTAGGGCCAACCCAGTACCTCCCCGTGTGCCTAGAGGACGTGGGAAGGAGAACCCTCCCCCAAGTGTGGCACCTTAGGGACCTGGACGACCTCATTAGTTGCAATGTTAGTAAGTCCTGTATCGTGCTCTGGAACACAGCGAGGACCCCACAGATCTGATGCCAACACCACGAGCTTCCAGCCCCAGAAGGGTCCCCAGCCTTCCATGCCTCAGCACCCACCTGCCAGCCCAGCTCTGCCAAGAGCCCCAATCTTTGAAAATATGCAACAAGGGAAACCCACCTTCCCTGAGGGTGGCCAGAGAAGGGACCCACAGGCTGAGATCCAAGAAAACAGGAGGCATGAAGTGGGGAGGTGGAGAGAGAGAGGGGCGTGAAGGGCCGGTGCTCGCCTAGGCAGCCCGTGGACAGGCCACCTCCGAGCTGCTCGCAGGCCTGCATCTCCCCCAGACGGGGACGCTGGGGCTCCAAGATGTGTATTTCAGGTCTTGTCCCCTAATGCAATGGTTCTCGTCCTTCCAAATGGACGCCGCTGTCCAATTCCAACCCGAGGGGAAAAGGGAGAGGCTGCCCTGTGGGTCTCCAGCCTCAGCCTCCTCCTTGTGGGATTTGAGTGATTTTGTCCCCTGGGACCTGTCAACGGAGGCCTGAAATAGTAACAGCCGTTGTCAGTCCTGGCTGCAGCTGGGATCTGGGGAGCTTTTAAAATCTCCGCTGCGCCCAGGCCACGCCCAACTGCGACTAGACCACGCCCCTTCCACCCCCAGGTCACGCCCAACTGCTGCTAAGTCACGCCCCCTTTCACAACCAGGCCAATTACATTAGACTCGCTCATGTCATTCATGACAGCGTGGACCAATCAGGAAGGCTGTTGGTTACGAAAAGCCTCCAGGCACAGGAAGATAAGTGGCCCCTGCTCTCACTTGGGTGGGACCTGAAATGGATCTCCCAGAAGGGCGATCACCAGAGGTTGGGGGGCAGAAGGGGATGAGGGGAGGGTGGCCAGCAGGTCCCAGCAGATGGACAGGAGCAAGAAGATGTGACTGACGTTCTCTTGAACAGTAGGGTGACTATGTTGTGCAATAATGTACCTCCACTTTGAAATAGCAGGAGAGAGCATTCGGCAAGCCTCACTGCGGAGAGGAGAAGCATTTGAGGTGGTGGTTTGCTAATCACCCCAATGCGATCGTCGCACTGTGTATGCTATCTCCAAACCCCTCTGCACCCCAGACATAGGTGCAATTACTGTGTGTCAATTAAATTGGTTTTAAAATCTCTAGTGAGCAATATTTAAATCTCCCCAGGGGAGTCCAAGTCTCAGCAAGCCAACTAACCCTGTCCTACAGAGGATTTGAGGACTGGAATCTGCAAAACCCAGTGCTGGCCGGCTGGGCTCTAGAAGTGGGGCTGGGGGTGGTGCGAATCAGGTCCCAGTGTGGCTTTGGGAATCGTTAGGTTTTCTCTTCTGTTTTATTGAGGGTAATA